AATGATACACGACAATGATAAAGCAATGCACGTAAAAGGTACTTTAAAAGAACAAATCGAACTCTTAAAACCTGAAGTTGGAGACGACGATGATGATTGTGACTTTTCCTCAACGTAAAACAAACCATCTAAAATAGATAAACATACTTCGGGAAAATGAGATCCGGTGATTTTAGAATAGACCAGGTGTTGCGGTATTCTGTTGTTTTCTTCCGTATGCATATATATTTGGCTGACGTAAACAGACCGTACATAAAGTACAATATACGATTCAGAAAAAACTAAGGAGAAGACTAAGTTAAAGTCAAGTCCATTGGAATCTTTAAAAAGTACTCAATACTGATCGGATCTGTTGCAACCTTTCAAACACTTTGCATATATCAATTTTTTACTTCCCTACTATTTCCGACTGTGTCTTTAGACACTCGTTTTCAGGAGAGCTAAGATATTTCGAGGACGTTAAATTCTAAACAAAGAAAAACAAAAATTCAGGTATCCAGACTGCCAAGGCTAGAACAAGATAAGCCATACACTAAATAGAAATGTTCATTCTGACCGTTGGAAAACTGTCGAGGTTAGTACCAGGTAAAAAAAACCATGGACAAGTGTTACTGATCTATCGGACAATCCGTACTAATATGGTAAAATACGCAGCGAACAAAACACTGTATAAATTAACATATATGTTAGTGTAAACATGTTTTTTTAAACGTTTTGCTAGATTTGTGTATAATCTTGGCACATTACACAAATAGCAACGAAGGATTTGTCAGTACATGCATCATAAACACATATTATCTATTGTGTGTTAGAATAGGCTCGATGATACGTTCCTCTGATGGTGTAGTGCCATCTTATTCTATACTGTGAGTTTTGTTCCTAATTCTTCACTACAAAAAAAAAATGTTTCTAAGATTTTCTGTTAAGCGTTTATTTAAACTAGCTTCCATGTTTAGTACCTTTGCAGCAAAGTAACAGTTTTATTGTAGTGAAATGGTTTACCAGTTTACTCTAGATGTAAAATTAATGGAAGTTATTTTTTTGAAAGAACTGATTATTCCTTTTTTACAAGCTTGAGCATCCTCCCAAAAACATTTAACATTTTCAATTTTAACTAACCTGTCTCATACTAAACTGAAGGGACGCCTTCATTTTCTCTTTCATTATTATATAAGGAGAGCATTATTTACAAAAACAAAAGCAAATATAAATATATGTCACATATTTTGGAGGAAAAATACGACTTGGTATAAGACGAGGGATACTAAAGATAAAATCGGGATTAATGTTTGACGGCTGACAGGCAAAATACATCACAGTATTCGTGAACTCCAGATTTATGGTCGCCATCATGATGTCATTTGAAAATATTCTTATTCCTGGTGCAATATGCAGGTCGATTTCTGTTTTAGTATACTCATTAGTATTTAACCTAGATTTACGTGGCTATTTTCGTCTATGAAACAGAAAACACAACAGACCATTTTACGAAAAAAACCGATCTTATTAGTATTAGTATTTATGTTGATTTTTCCTTCGTTCATATTTTCCCCTAGTTTCATCAAATTTGAATTTAAATTAAAGTTTTGTTAACATTTCTGTATTAGAATTATTTGCTCGTGTTACGATCCGGTGATTCAGTTGCTTCTTCAATCTGCACGGTTGTAAGTCTACTGACATCGAAATTGTTTGATCTTTTGCCTACTACCTTTATATCGAGTTTCTTCCGGGACAACAATGTTTTAAAGAAACTGTGGGAACGGATTTCTGTTACAATTATTCTCATTTCCTGAAAACTTAAATAGCTTTTAACATATTAAGATGAATGTATGAAACAAGAAAAAGTGTGCATATTTACTTGAAAATGAAATGTATGCATAATGTTAATATAAAGATTATGATATTGATATAATAAAATATATTACCGTGTTGTACATTTACCGAAACGTGTCTTATTTCGGATGTTATAGCTTGATGAATATAAATGATCAATTACATGTAAAACGTGATGTTATTTGTTATGAGCGGTATGGTGGCCGGACCTGACTCGACGGTTAACTCCCTTCTGTATACGCGGTTTATAACATGCAGAGTCATTAATCCTATTCTGCGGTAAAACGACGGAATGTCCCGGCTGATGTGCTTAGCATCTACTCACTCATCTCAAGATAACGAAACTACAAAGTAACATACAGCATAAAACTTGTTTTGTTTTGTTATATGTGATGTTGAAGGGGTTTAAAGTCAACTTGAGTGAACTTGATACTCTTGATGAATTGATTGACCTTTAACCCTACATACATCACTCTAATACTGGTTACTACGGTTGTTCCCGGAATGGATTCGGTTTTTGCGGGTTTTCCTCGTTTAGTGTCTTAATTATTTATAGCACTCCTTATTCTGCAACTATTGAGCTATATAAGTTAGATACGAGAACTAATTAAATCCACCATATTATGTTTAAATTATGAGTATACGTCATAGGTTGTACGTGACTTTACAAATGAATAAACATCGTCATGATATACAAAGCAATGGAAATTATAATATATACATTCCTTGTATAAGACAATGACATCATCAGTGACGGTTGTACAATGCAAAACCTTTTACTGAGAAATGCCATTCATTAACATATGTAATTAATTGTCCATCGTTAACTACATAGGTTTATCATATGTTTACTAATAATAACACCCTTTTTGTATATGTGATAAGTCTAAAATTTCCACAAGTTGATATCAGCCCGGGTGATATCACACCCCTTGGAGTGATATCACACCCCCTTGAAAGTGATATCACACCCCCTAGAAAAGTGATATCACACCCCCTCCTAAATTTCCGGATTTTGCCGTTTCCGCTTATTGTTGTCTGCTTTTAATGTAAACAAACGAATTGTTGGCATGGAATAAATGCCGTTTCATGGAAAATAATTTAAAGATTGATTAACAAAGCCCCACCCAAATATCCGGATGGCGCCGCTTCCGTATTTGGATTTGCTTATTAGTGATACACCTGTCGTCTGCGTAAACCAAAACAACGATGGCGACTATAGCTAGTACTGGTGAGGAGATTTTAGAGGAACTCAGTGGCAGCAAGGATTGTTGAACTAGATGAATTAATCCTGGAAAAGGAGACGAAATGTGTAATGGATGCAGGGAGGCGATTCAATAATGCTAGTTAATGATACCGAAGCTTTCGTGGAACAAGGAGGAACAATGATACATTTCCTCATCTTTCACGAGGAACAAGAATACTGCGAGAAAAACGCAATCCGACATCAAAATGTTCACGGATTATCTGATGTCTCAAAATGAGTGGAGATCTTCAGAGTCTATTGACTCGGTTCAGTTGGCGGATTACATGGCCAGGTTCTTCATGAACGTCAGAAAAAACGATAAATCTGAGTACGAACCATCAAGTCTGAGGTGTTTACAATCCAGCATTAACCGTTAACGTTACCTACAGGAGAAACACTACGACGTCAATATTTTGACCGATATTAAATTCTATCATTCTCGTGATGTGTTAAGTGCCAAAATGAAGAATTTGAAGACTCAAGGCAAAGGAAACCGCCCAAATGCTGCTGATTCACTAAATAAGGAATAAGTGTCAATTCTGTATGAAAAAGGGGCGCTTGGTTTAGGTAGGTACAGTATTCAAATGAATAATAAATAGTTCTTTAAGCTTGGTAGCTGTTGGTTCCAGTTAGTAATAACTGTAGGCCCCTATTACTGTTATCATTTAGTGAGGAATGCCCAATGGATATTGAAAATTGTATTGTGTTGATGATTGATTCAGACAGTGATTAAATTGAATTCCAACCAGATCCATTAATATTGTGTTATATTGTTAAAACTATTAATAAACATGTTATTTTGTAGGAATTTCTGAATTTCTGAAATGTTGACTTTTTATGATAGTTGTTACTGTTTTGTTTATATACATGTACATCATTGTTTTTGTTATCATTTTTATGAATATCAGTAAATAAGATAAAGAAATGATTTGTTTGTGTATGTTTTGTTTATTTTAAAGGATAAAAACATATGACAAAAAGTTTATGATATGACCATTTTGATAGCACACCCCATATCAGCCTGAGAGTCCTGATATCAGCCCTCGAGTCCTGATATCAGCCCTCTGGCCTTCGGCCCTCTGGCTGATATCAGGACTCTCAGGCTGATATGGGGTGTGCTATCAAAATGGTCATATGATAATCTCTAAATATCAATTCATCGACGCAATTGTTTTATTCTAATTTGTCCTCTATGACGTAATGACCTAAATAATGTGTCTAACCACGTAGTAGTGTTACGCCTTACCTGTCACTGATTTCCGCGTCCACGGCTGAGTGACTTACGCATGTACAGGTATATAAGGTACGTAACGCTGTTCTCATTCATTCATCCTAAATCACAATGAAAGCCTACATTTCTCTATTTACATTCGCTCTTGCGATAACAGGTAAGTCTTCTTCCTATTCCAGCTCTGAAAGGATCGTTGTCATATTTATCATGCATTAATCGCCAAGTTACTCTACTTATATATATATATATATATTTAATTGAACAGTATGTCATATTTTAGCGAAAGATTTTAACTACGTTACATGCTAAATTATTTTAAATAAAGTAGAACACGTTTTTGTCAGTTAACGCTGGTATGGATANGTCATAGGTTGTACGACTTTACAAATGAATAAACATCGTCATGATATACAAAGCAATGGAAATTATAATATATACATTCCTTGTAGAAGACAATGACATCATCAGTGACGGTTGTACAATGCAAAACCTTTTACTGAGAAATGCCATTCATTAACATATGTAATTAATTGTCCATCGTTAACTACATAGGTATATCAATTCATCGACGCAATCGTTTTATTCTAATTTTTCCTCTATGACGTAATGACCTAAATAATGTGTCTAACCGCGTAGTAGTGTTACGCCTTACCTGTCACTGATTTCCGCGTCCACGGCTGAGTGACTTACGCATGTACAGGTATATAAGGTACGTAACGCTGTTCTCATTCATTCATCCTACATCACAATGAAAGCCTACATTTCTCTATTTACATTCGCTCTTGCGATAACAGGTAAGTCTTCTTCCTATTCCAGCTCTGAAAGGATCGTTGTCATATTTATCATGCATTAATCGCCAAGTTACTCTACTTATATATTTTTATTTTTTTTAATTGAACAGTATGTCATATTTTAGCTAAAGATTTTAACTACGTTACATGATAAATTGTTTTAAATAAAGTAGAACAGATTTTTGTCAGTTAACGCTGGTATGGATTGTTTAAATACATATCTATGTTACACTTTTCAGCGGCCCTATGTGTCCCGTCCTTCAGGAAAAAGACAACCTGTGAAAACAGGACCGCCTATTTGAAGTGCCAGACAGGATACACCATTTCCATCATAATGGCCAAGTATGGCCGTACTGACCATGCTACGTGTCCAAGCAAACAGATAAAAACAACCTACTGCTCATCGCGAGAATCTCTTAATATTGTTAGACGCTCTTGTAACGGACTTCAGTCCTGCAAGGTGCGCGCGTCGAACAAGGTTTTTGGAGATCCCTGCCGGGGCACGTACAAGTACCTTAGCATTAGATATGCGTGCAAGAAAACTGCACCAGCTGGTAAGTCTGATATTAATAATGTATAGGCACACTACTCATCACTTATTTTCATGTTTACAAGCGAAATATATGTAGTTTCACGTTCATTTTTGTTTCACTAGTATATCAAAAGTTGTTTGGGATTGCGCCAGCAGGATTGAAAATATGGATTTAACTATAAATGGTATTCAATAAAAAACCGTTATGTATTCTGTTTTTAACATTTTTATAATTTTAAAACAAAGAAACGGATAATGGATAGCGATAATACTTCGGTAAGTCAGATTTATTTTGGCGGAACCCAGTTATAGACGTCGAACTTTTTCTGAACTCACAAGCAAGGACGATGGCAAGCATGCATAGTTCAAGCTCTCTGATTGGTAACTTATTCATTGTTTTTTTAGGCATTTTCAGTAGTTTTATCCAGAAGATTTCTTTTTATGTTGCTTAGGTAAACATTGTTAAATCGATATTTCTCATTGCAGTTTAAATTAACATTGTTATTCTCGACTGTAAATTGATAAATACCAATGTTTTTTTCCCACTTGGTATTGCAGGTATCAGGAGAAGTATTACATGTGAGAAAAAGAAGAGCACCTTATCGTGTCGGAGCGGTGGAGTACTGGACATCATGTCAGCTAACTACGGGCGTTCTGATCCCAACACATGCTATTCCAGGAACATTAAAACAACACACTGTTCATCCAGCAAATCGTTTCACGAGATCAAAGACCGTTGTCAAGGTCAGAGGAGCTGCCGTGTGTACGCTTCCAACAAGGTGTATGGTGATCCCTGCAGAGGCACCTACAAATATCTCGACGTCAAGTACAGATGTGTTGGTGAGTAACTAGATGATGTTGATATTGTGTGAACCTCGCTATAGTTCATCCTGGAAAACCCAGGGATCACGCTCTCTTACGTTCTCTTCAAAACACGTAAGTAAGCGTTACCCCTGGAATTTCTAGGATAACTATTTTAAGGCACTGTATTAATATACTTTTAAGAGTCATGTACAAGAAGTAATTGTGAATTGGAATGCCGGTTATAGTACAATGAGTCACTTACTGATACAGATCGAAGTGTTTTAGATGGCTTATTCACATTTTTGTCAACGCTTGGTGTTTTTATCGTGTTTCCATTTCAAATATCAGTTGAAAAGTAAGGTAAACTATTATTTATCAACACAATCAGAACTGAATTCATTATTTTATAAATCTTAGGATGTATTATTAATTTAATGTATAAGCATCTTGTTTATGAGGCGTCCTCGTTTTACGTAATGTCACCACTTCATACGACTGTTGTTTATTATTTCAGCCTATCACAAGCCAGAAACGTTCTCAAAGACAATCTGTGAATCAAAAAGTTCCATGGTTGAATGTCCGCCCAACATGAAACTGTACATATTGTACGCCTCATACGGACGGACTGACGGATCCACATGCAGTAGATATGGGCAAATGAGGGACACAAGCTGTAGCGCACCCGGATGTACCGAGCGGATCAGGAAATATTGCCAAGGTCAGCGTTCTTGTATGGTCAAGGCCACTAACTCGATGTTCGGTGACCCATGCCGAGGAACATATAAGTATCTGAAACTCAAGTACCAATGTGTGTACTAATGACTGTCTCTACGCTTGCGTGACCCTATCCAGCTCTCTACATTTGTGATCCCCCGTACACTGGCTACATGTACCTACCTTTTGTTTATCTGTGATTACGAAATCCTTAGATTGTTGTCATATTTTATATTTTGGTACATGTATTTGATCTTTAATAAAAAAAAATGATCCCAATTAACAATGTTCGCATTTTTATTTATCAACCACTATGTAACATGAACAGGTTCAATGGATGAAGCCTACCACGCGTTTCTCTGTAATCTGGTTACCTACTAATTCACTGTTTAATGCTATACACCTATCTCGCGTTCCTCTGTAATCTGGTTCCCTACTAATTCACTGTTTAATGGTATACACCTACCACGCGTTCCTCTGAAATCTGGTTACCTACTAATTCGCTGTTTAATGCTATACACCTATCTCGCGTTCCTCTGTAATCTGGTTACCTACAAATGCATTGTTTAATGCTATACACCTACCACGCGTTCCTCTGTAATCTGGTTACCTACTAATGCATTGTTAAATGCTATACACCTATCACGTGTTCCTCTGTAATCTGGTTACCTACTAATTAACTGTTTAATGCTATACACCTACCACGCGTTCCTCTGTAATCTGGTTACCTACTAATTCACTGTTTAATGCTATACACCTATCACGCGTTCCTCTGTTATCTGGTTACCTACTAATTAACTGTTTAATGCTTTACACCTATCACGCGTTCCTCTGTTATCTGGTTACCTGCTAATTCACTGTTTAATGCCATACACCTATCACGTGTTCTCTGTATTCTGGTTACCTACTAATTCATTGTTTAATGCTATACACCTGTCACGCGTTCCTCTGTAATCTGGTCACCTACTAATTCACTGTTTAATGCCATACACCTATCACGTGTTCTCTGTAATCTGGTTACCTACTAATTCACTGTTTAATGCTATACATCTATCACGTGCTCCTTTGTAATCTGGTTACCTGCTAATTTACTGTTTAATGCTATACACCTATCACGCGTTCCTCTGTAATCTGGGTACCTACTAATGCATTGTTTAATGCTATACACCTATTACGTGCTCCTTTGTAATCTGGTTACCTGCTCATTTACTTTTTAATGCTATACACCAATCACGCGTTCCTCTGTAATCTGGTTACCTACTAATGCATTGTTTAATGCTATACACCATTCACGTGTTCCTCTGTACTCTGGTTACCTACTAATCCACTGTTTAATGCTATACACCTATCACGTGTTCTTCTGTAATCTGGTTACCTACTAATTCACTGTTTAATGCTATACAACTATCACGTGTTCTCTGTAATCTGGTTACCTACTAATTCATTGTTTAATGCTATACACCTATCACGCGTTCCTCTGTAATCTGGTTACCTACTAATTCACTGTTTAATGCTATACACCTATCACGCGTTCCTCTGTAATCTGGGTACCTACTAATGCATTGTTTAATGCTATACACCTTTTGTTTCTGTGTCCAATCGTTACAAGAGAGAAGCAACAGTTAAAGCCATGAAACATTTTAAAATCGGAACTTCATACTATGACGTCTCAGTTTTGCTGAAAAGGCAAAACTGTGGGTGTTTTTGTTAGATTTTCAAATTTGGCTATTCACAAAAATTGTAATTTACCATGCTTTGGTTAAACAAACGAAAATTAGAATTTGAAACTCGTTCACATTCTATCTTTTTTGATAATTATCTTTTTATTCAGATTTTTATCAATGCAATATACATGTACAATAAATAGCAAATCATTCACTCATTTGTATACTGGCACATACATACATACACCTATACATTTTGTATCTGTTATGTCTACATTTGTCATAGACTACATACATTCTCAGGATTATATTTATCCACAGGAGCACAAACTTTCATACTCATTTCCGTCTATTTTTACATTTTAATATTTTATTACCCATATATATGCATCCATCCATGTGTCTGACATATATATGTCTCAATCATTCATTGCTATGTCTCGAGTAAAAATAGAACACATATCCACCTTCTATTCACATTCTATCTTACCTTAATAAACGTAAGCCCAGAGATGGTACCATCTTTAAAATTTGGTTATAAATATAATATGCCAAAAATGAATTACACTGCACTGTTCTGTCTTCTCACAGAGATTTAATGTCTTTATCGATTAGTTTCACCTTCTCTTGTTGTATATAGATTTATCGACTACTTGGGGCTCCTCGTGGTCTGACTGGGAAAAACAAATATGGCAGCGCCCTACATGTAGGCATGCTACATATTCTTATTTACAACCTTTTGGTTAAACTGTGCTAGTTCACACTTTGTAAGTATTTCTTCAAATTATAATGATGCTTGGTTTATTATTTGCAGTAACAATTTATGTAATTTCTGCATAATCCAGGTAGAAATAGGGATAATATAAGTCGCCATAATTGGCATAGCCTAACTTAGCTAGAAGTGTTGAATAATTCACCATACATATAAATTTACCTTTCCAGTTCTCGGTGAGGACTTTAGGACTATTTGTTTTGTATTTTCTAGATAAGCCCTTATGCTACAGAATGGTTTACCTGGTTTCTTGTTAGTTATTTACATAGTATCGTATATGTTTATCGGATAGGAGCTTTTGGAAGATAAATATGATGATTTCGATAAGATGGGATATGTTCGGTGATATGTGAATCGGGTAGATTCATGTACAGAAATTGTATGCGATATAATTATATAATTACAGTATAGGCTTTCTTGATATGTGTACATGTTTATACAGAGATAGAAGACTGTTTGGTAAGATTTGTTTATGATTTGTTGTAGCATTTCACCGCTTCATGTCCATGTGGGGTCTGTACCAGACAACGTTAACTGCTTTTGTCATCTGTACCAGATACATGTTGATTTTCGGAATAAATGGACAAATTGGTGACACTATCTGTGATTGTGGTTCATATGTCAATCGTGCGACAGAATACTGCACCATAAAAGTGACATTTAGGACGTAACGGTTATGCTATGGACCAAAATGGTTGACACTCATATTGTTCTTAACTACTGTTAGAGGAGAACTGGTAAATTTTGTATTAAATAACGTCAAAAGTGTTATACATGTGCTATGAATCCTGCCACCATTCAAACATGATTATATGGCCATCAAGGTGACGACCATGAACGCAAGATACATTGGTATGAAGTTGGAACATATTGGAGATCCCTTACTGGCAGATCACATTTAATTATATATATAGATTTACAGATGATGATTCCTAATCAAATACAGTGTAGGAATAATCTAGCTACTTATATGGATGTTACGAAACATGAGGAGCATTAACGCCTACACTTGCGGAGCACTTGATTTGGGTTAACCGGTATGATGTATTCTACTTCAATTTGGATGTCTCCCTTATTCCTGTTGTTGATTTAATGTGTCTGTGGCAACCTTGGTTTTGGCTTTTGTCTTGGTGTATTGATGGTATATTTTGTTTTGGAGTGTCGACGATAAAGTTTCGTTCTGGCTTGGAGTGTTGATGCTTTGGTATATTTTGTCTTGGTGCCTTGATGCTGTGGGATATTATGGCTTGGTGTGTCGACATTTAGGCTTCTTTTGTCGCAGTGTGTCTACGTTGTGGCATATTCTTTGGTGTGTTGACGCTGTGGTTTATTTTGTCCTGGTGTGATGATGATGATGCTTCTTTTGTTTTTGTGCGTTGACGTTGTGTAAAATGTGTTTCTTGGTGTGTCGATGCTTTCGTATAATTTGTCTTGGTGCGTTGATGTTGTGGGATAATTTGTCTTGGCGTGTCGACGCTGATCTTTATTTTGGTTTGGTGTGTTGACGATGTGGTATATATTGTCCTTGTGTGTTATCAATGTGTTATATTTTTGTCCTGGTGTGTTGTTGCTGTGGTATATTTTTCTCTTGGTGTGTTTGCACTGTGGTGTAGTTTTGTCTTTGTGTGTTGACGCTTTGGTATATTATTTGACTGTGTGTGTTGACGCTGTTAATATATATATATATAAAAAATAAAATGAACGACCGACTAAAAAACTAGCTGCTGAACCTGAAGAGCCCTGTGAAGGGTGAAAGCAGCTAGTTTTTTAGTCGGTCGTTCATTTTATTTTTTATATATATATATATATATATATATATAATGTACTGTCCTTGTGTGATGACGTTGTTGCGATATTTCTTTCAAAGTGCAATCACCTGGGTGTGTTACGTTCATCTTTTAAGACAAAGGTGGTATTATCTGCTGGTGGATTATTTAGTCCCTAGAATGTGTTGTTGCCCTGATGGCCAAGATTATCCTCTTCGAGTATCTTGAGTAGTGACACAGTTCATAATATACATTTTTTTTACAGATTGTCAATTCATAATTAAGCAGTACTTCTCACAATAGATCCATTAATGGGTTTACGCATATGGCGTTTGTTTTAAAAGTAGTTTAGACTATTTTGATTTCCAACTTTAAGGCTCCCGACATCAGGCTCTGGACGTACCAGCTGTATGGTGCGGTGTAAGTCATTGTTTTGGTATGCTGTATAGGTTACCTTATTTTAAATTTGAAATCATCTGTGGGTTAGTTTGGTTCATCTTTTACAGGATTAGGGAGGTTGTTCATAATCATATATAGTTTGTCAGATTAGTGACAATAGGAGTTTCTGTTAAAGCTTTAAAATTCACTTTGTGTCTGAATTGATTGTATTATCTAAAGGGTTCACTGATGACCTTTCTCTTAATCAAATCATGTACCGCCATGCTGGCCGTACAACCACTGACGTCTTTAGATCTGGACATTTATAAGTTCACCTTTTGTAGATTATTGATATAATGGTCGCGTGTGGAATTCGTTTGTTTATATGCTTCTGTTGGAATTATCTAGGAAGAAGACGTCATGTCCACGGCTATTTCTACATATAGGCATCCCTTAATCGAATATTGTTCTAGTGTATATAGCATTGATGTTGGTCTATTTATAATTAATGCTGATGTATATCTAGTAAATGTGGCGTCCAGCTATCCCTAGGAATACTAATAAGTAAGCAAAAATAAATGAATAAATAGGAAGCTGATTCAGTGAGCTAAACAAAGTAAGTACTTACTGCACTATGTAACAATTTTCTATCAGAAAGAATCCATATGCCGATGTACTGCCGTTGTAGTCCCGTTGC